GGGCGCTGTCCTGCAGATAACTGATCTATTTAGGTCCATGCATTTCAGTGCAGGAGTACTGCTAAAGTTAGATAGTAAATGTTGGCAGGATTGGGTCCAAAATGTGAATGTTATTTTGAAGTGCAGTAAATTTGCTGATGGTTTTTTTGTGTTTGTTTTGTTTTTTGTTTTTTACATACGAGTTTAACCAGTCACTGATATGATACAGAAGAGCTTTTAGGTTTCTGGGTTTCAGTGGGAACTAAGGATACCTCTTTTTCAACAGCAACAAAAAGGTTTGATTGACTCTGAGAACACTCTGTGAATAGCATTTATGTAATAGCAACTTGGCACCGAGCATAATAGTTCGGTAAGACAATTGTTGATATTTTAGGATTATAATGAGATGGCTCTTCTTAAATACATCCTTTCAGAAAACTTAGCTATATTTATCAAGCTCAGAATCTCAGCATAAAAACTTTGATTACTGTTAAGCCAAGCTCTTATACAACTAATCATTAGCAGAAATATTTCTGGGACTTTTTTTTTCTCTTGTTGTCAATCACAATATTTAATTTTAAGCATAAGTGTTCTCACTTGGTTTTGTCCTTGTTCCTTTCCTCCTCCTTTCTGCTATTGTCCTTGGTGATCTTGCTAATTTCCACCCTTTCGCTTACTTTATCTGCTTACCTTTTCCTGCACCCAGATGTTTGTATACTAAAACAGATTGTGTTTTTTGTCTTTTCCCTAGATAACACTATGACATCTGTATTTAGTTTTTTGCTGATGTTGTTGTTGTTTTCAAGTGTGTGCTGCCATCTACGGAATAATCATTGAAATAAGGCTGATTCAAAAAAAAAAAAAAAAAAGAAAATGTTTTATTCAGAAGATCATGGAAAATAAGATCTAGCTAGTGGAAGAGGTATCTTCGGCAGTTGGCCAGATTTCCAGTAACAGCTTCTCTGTACTCCCAGATCTCACAGCAGAAACAGGTGAAAGTAAATGGCTTAGAAGATCAGACTTCTATGACTTGACTTAGGTATTTGTACTGGGCAAACTATCAGAGCACCCTGAAAATTAGAATAAGGTTGCTTCTCCTCTAATTCTGTAACTGATTTCCTTTTACTTCCCCACCATACTTCACACATCCTAGCCCTTAGCAGTTTCTAAGATCTGTTTATTAAATCATTTGGTTTCTAAAGCTTAATTTTAATTCCTTATTCCTCCCTAGCATCTTGTTAACTGCTTTAATCATTTATCTTCTCTTATTCGCTTCATACCTTTCTTCTGTGCCCAGTTTTGACCTGCCAGGTTCCAGGTTTTTCTCCTTTTATTCCTTCAGACCCACTTAGAATACAGGACTGAAGATCCGTCCCCGTTATCTCTCTATCCTGTTATGTTTTGGCTCTTTGATATCTATTTTAGAGTATATATCTATTTATTGTAATACATTTATTCAAGCTGGTCTGGAAAGTACTCTGAGAAGTCATTCTCTCTATACTTTTGTATACTGGGGTATCTGTGCATGCATAACAGGTATCAGCTTTTATCTTGACTGTTCATATGCTTTTCAGCTTGCAAATTTTTACTAAGAATCTCATAAAATTTTAGTGTCTGCTAAGCTTTGATGTGGTAGGCTTAGGTATATGAGTTTATGGTGATCAGGCTTCTGTTCGTTTGGGTTAAGAGATGTGACAGAAAACAGCTATGTCTTTAGGGCTTTTCCTCAGCAGCCAAAGTGTTGGGTGGGGGGTATATTGAACCACTACCGTTTAAATGTCTTCTTATGGCACAAAACAGAATCAAGACAAAAAGTTTAACCTATTATGGATGAAACATTCTTTAAAAAAAGTCTTCTGACATTTTCTTCTTATTGCTGAACTTAGAAATTGATCTTATTTCTCAACATCAGACACAAAATGAAGAAAAAAATCAATGCTGACGATTGATCAAGGTTTTTCAAAACTGCCTTAATAAGATAAAAATCAATGCAGCTGTATTATTTGCCATTATTTTATCACCAGTAGCATTTAAACATGGTAATATTTGATTCTTAAGTTAAAATGTGAAAGTATTTGAGCTAGCTATTGCAGAGGCAAAACAACTTAGAAAGAAGGGATTTATTTAGTCAACTTTGGTTTTCTTTTCGTTTCTCATTTTAGAACTTTGGTTTCTGCAGAAACTGAAAACAGTCTTATGTTTTAAGTACTGGTATATAATTGTTCCTTTAATTTTAGAGATTTACATAGAACAGGTGAATACTTGTATTTGCAGATTACACCTAAATAAGAGCTCTGATCCTTCTTCCTGCAAATAAAAGTTCCCTCTTGCTTGGTGAATGGTCCATACTTGAAAACTTGAAGATATGGTTGGGCAACTAATTTCTCCTGTTGCAGGCTCACAGTGTTTGACTTTCAAGCCTTACTGTACAAATGCATTAGCTTTTAAATCTTTTTCAGTAAAAATGGACAGGTCTTTTTTTTTTTTTCTTATGATTGTTTCCCTTTTCCTCCCGCACTATCCTCAGTAATAATAAAATCCCTTACTCATTTGTTTAAAGAAAAGTCATAAAAATCTATCTTATACAATATAAGGGAACCGATCCCTAAGCCGTGAATACGACTTAACACCTGAGAAGCTTTAAAAAAAAAAAAAAATTTGCATTTTAATTTTTTAGTTCCTGTTTACTTGCAGCCTTCTTTGTAGCCCTTTGGGCTCCTGCTCTCAAGCTTCTCTTAAAACCTGAGAGCTAGAAACATCCTTTCAGGGAAGAAGTTCCAGATTCTCATGTAATCACTGGGATGCATGAACTGGGGTTTTTAGGAGAATATCAAACATTGAGAGATTCTTGATTAAAAACCTGGCTATTGGCAAGACTACGATAATGAATGACATCTTTTGTTTTAGGTATTTTATTTCGTAAGAACAAAAATACAGATGTCTGCATAAATTTCTTGCTGAATTGTATCCATCCCGGTAAGCTGGACCAGAATGTCAAAAAATGAGAAATGCAAAGTTAATAGTCAGTAGGTACAGTTTTTGAGAGTACAGAATTTAATCAAGTTCTCTGTTGGGCCTATTACTTTTACCTCTGTTCTTCGTATTTCTTAACTAATTGATGAATGTAGTGAGTTTGCTCCTCTCCTCAAGTAGCTCTGAGCAGCAAGGGTACTTAAATTGATGGAGAACAAAATAGTCCCACTCTTTCAGTTTCTCCTTTATCTGCTTTATTATAGGCAACATCCTCAAGCACGTGATGAGAAGCACTTTTATTTCTCCTCTCTCTTTCCTCTTTCTCCATGCTACAGGAGAGAAATAGCGTGGCATATTGTGTAGCTAAAAGGTTATCAGGGCTGAATTTGTTACATCTCTGAACTTGGCAGGCAAGCATTCACAGCCACTCTAGAAATACATGGCTCATCACCACTTGAGCTGGACACCTTGAGGAGATAGATGATATTGCATTGGTTTGCTAGTTGCTCCGCAAACAGTCAAAAGGGCTTACGCTATAAAATGTGATGCCCTCCAATTGACAGCTCTTCCAAGGTTCATTTGTTAACTAAGAGCATGACATATATTGAAGCTGTTTTTTTCATAATGCGTTTGGCATTATTAGGAGAATCTGTCAAACACCTTAGACGCTTCATATGGGCATAAAGATACTCTGCTTCTAGTTTGGGCTTTCTGACTAGTGACTTTGTACTTGCAGGGGCGTTTGGAATGAATGCGAGAGGACAGGGCATAAAGTAAAAAGCTTAAACGCATTCCCCAAAAGAAAATTTGTGAGAAAGTGCATTTGCTGTTTGGGATGTTTACCTGTGTTTTATAATTCAATTATTTTTTCTTTTGGTATAAGACCTTGGTTCCTTGCTTAGTAAAACGCTCAGATTAATGCATTGGGTTTCAGAGGTTCCTTTTTTCTTCTATTAGATTAATAAAACAAGCATATCTGATTTCTTTATGGTGGTGAAGATGTGTATAAAAGAGATACTCAAGGATTTAACTTGCCTGTGGATCCACAAGAGAATTAAAACAAACAACCAAACAAGCAAACAAAAAAACTCTTAACCTTCCCCTAGATAAAGCCTGCATTTGTTTTAAAGAATAAATGACCCATTTAGAATGATGCTGCCACTGATCTTGTCATTATTTCTTTCATTTGCTGTTTTCTTGTAGCTAGCTTTAAGAAATAGTTTTGTAGAAGACAAGTTGTGCCAGAACGCTAAAATTCTGCTTTTTTATTCTGTGAAGGATTTCCACTATATAGTCTTCACTGGGACAGTTCATGTGCTGCTGTCTAGCAAGATGCTGACCGGAGGTCCGGGTCAAGTAATTAAGGATTAGGTCCCAAATCCATCATCACTAGTAGCTGCTGCTTCCCTTCCATCCCATGAAGTTGACAGTTACAAAATGAATTTACAAAGAATGAATTTTAATTTCACTTCTTAGTCCTTACTTAGAATAAACCAATTACTGCAAGTGTTTAGGTTAATTCCTCTAGAATCCAGGTAAGTTTCTCCAAGTACTCCTCCTTTTGCTGCCTGGGAAAGTACACAAAGTTTTACAAAGGTAGTCAAAATAATGATGGCTTTTCAAAGGTTTTTTGGCTGGCATTGTTTAGGAAATGGAACACAGTTGTTTGGAATAGATGAGAAGACTGTGAAAAATTAATGAGTAGGTCAGGACGTTTCATTTCAAAGGAAGGAACAGCCTAGTTTGGATGGAAATGACTCTTCAAGAAATGTCAGAGAAGAACGACCAAAGCTAGTTCTCTCTAGAAAACCTCAGAATCACCCGTGTCCCATTTTGAAAGTGTTAAGGTCTGGAATTCAAACATATGGCTCTTCTCCGTCTGTAAATTCAGCGAGCCTGAAATCACAGAGTCAAATCTTCCTGAGGTCTTGGGGGAAATTTTAGACCTATCTCCATCTAAATACTTCCTGTTTTGTTTGGAAAGTCTGTTGGCAAATGCCGTTTGGGTCCATGGTGAGTACTGACTACAAGGGCTCTCTATTTTGCAGGGCAAGCACAAGCTGCACGTGGACACGGGCCTGGAAGGCGAGTGGTGTGGCCTCATTCCCATCGGGAATGCCTGTGACTGTGTGACCACCACGGGCCTCAAGTGGAACCTCAGTAAGTCAGGTGCCTCCAGGACAGTGGGTTTGACCTCGCTGCCTTTCACGTTGCTATCCTAACTGCACGTTTACACCGGTTCACCAGTACTGAAAGCCCTGTGTGTTTATAAGGCGGATCACGATACTGAATGCCTGCCAGACCTTTTTTTTTTTTTTTTTCCCCTTAGAAATTGAGTTTAAAAAAAGAAGTGAATTATATTTAAACTTGAGATATCCCAGGCAGAAACGTGTTTGCCATTTGGGAGTCATTGTGCTGTTTAAATAGAACATTTGTTGAGGTCATGATACATTACCGTCTTGATACATTACCCTCCAGGGAGGGGAAGCTGCGAGTGCCTCAACTCCTAGTTATAAGCCATAAAGTTACGACAGACAAATAATAATGCGATACAGATTATTAAAGCTACCTCACTTCCCCTGAACTGCTTCACACATATTGTCTATTTGTCAACTCTGAAAGAATATTTCTTTTTTCTTATTTAAAAGTGGGAAAGTGCATTTGCTCTAGAACAGGGACATTTATCTGGAGAGAAAGGAGGGGTTTTTGACAGAAAAAAATTAAATAATCTTAATAATCTTCATCCTCCTGCCTGCTCCTCCCACACAGAGTCATTCGGGTTGTATCTACTCAAGAAAATAACAGATTTTTTTGTTTTAATAAAGATTCATTAAAACTTAAAAAACAATAACTCACAGGCTCTGATCATGCAGTCTGATTTACATGGGTAGACTTTAGAGCCATCCCATGTAGAAAGGCTACATGGTCCTCACAACTCGCATTTCAGTGCCCTTCTTGACTAGTGATTAAGGTGAGGTTTACCTACCGGGCTGGCCCAAAGCATGTGCACACTAGTCTGTGGAGTTTCCTGTTCCATTGAGGATTTGAGCGTTTGTAATGAAGTAGGTGACAGGCATCGGTTGCTCCCTAATGAGAAAAGATATAAGTATGGCATTAATTTCAGGGCATGAGAAACTTTCCAGATGGGGTGTTGATGAGCTATTTGCCTAGTGATGCTTTCACTCTCTTAAACTGGAATGTAAGATCTGGTTGTAATTGTATATGGGAGCATTACTGACTCTTAATTTGAAAGAGGGTCCAATACATTCATTTGTATTGATAAGTACATTAGACAAGCAAGTTATCTGGCGCCCAGGTGGCTGGAGCTAACTTTTAGTCATCCAAATATAAATTCTGAGTCAAGTTACTGTTCAGATAGCAGTAAAGCAAATTAAAGCAGAGTTGCATCCCCTAAAAGGGAAGACAGTACTTGAAATACAGCGCGTGGGTTAATCATGAGTTGTTTGGTTGTTTTTCCCTTATAAATAAGCCTTACGATCGGATAACCTAAGTTTGCTGTTAGCTTTCATTGTGTTCATGGCTTCTGTGCTGCCTGTAGTTTTGCAGTTACTTTCAAAAATGTTAGCCCTGCAAATTGCAACGGAGAGAAGCAAAGACTTAACTTGGAAAGGAAGGGGACGAGAACACAATGAAGTGTGACCTGGGTGACGCAATGGTGCTGCTGGCAGCAGTGGCAGTTTTCCCTGTTTGGTAATGAAGTTCTGAGGATACACCTTCATACGCCTCCATGAATGAAATGGCTTTGTTATAACTTTGTCTTTCAGTGTGTAAATCATGAAAGAAATGGCATTTTCAAGCCAAGCGTGACACAGAAGACCTCTATCTCCAGTTTGCTATGAATTAATAGAATATGATATAACAAGTTTGTTTTTAAAAAGTAATTTCTGAGTCCTCAAAATATTTGTTGTTTTAAGTGCCTTGGCTATGAATTAATTTCAGTTCTCAGCTGTTCTGTTTGAACAGCCAAAAATGATTTGTTAGGTGTGAGGGGAGCCCTCATTTTTGCAAATAATATTCAGCAACTCAAAATCCAGATAACAGGGCAGTACAAGAAAGAGCTGGCTTTGCATCAGGCTTTCTAATAAGTTTAACACAGATTTGTCTGAGCACATCTCGATTCCTCTGCTGATTAAAACGTGTAAAAGCGTCAAGTGGTAGTCAAATGTTATCTTTGTCTAATGTACGGGTGCTGTCATGAGACTTCATATCATCTGAATAGAAAAAGACAAGGACCTAAGGTAACTAAGACAGAAGCTGTACTGGGGTTGAGAGTAGGCTACCAAAGCTCTCACTTCAATGGCTGAATTAAATAAACCTGAAATACGTAAATTATTCTGCCAGCAGAGAAACAAATGCACTTGATGTATTGATTACACTTTCAGTACAGCAGAAATCAGTCTTCTGTGTGTCTGTGTGAGGATGCAACATATATGTATGCTTTTATGTGTGCTTACGTGACACCAGTTGTTTACTAGCATGTGGCACAAATAGCACATTCATTTATTTTATTTCTCATCTTATGGGTAAAACCTCCGAGAAGAAGTGGAAAACTGATTAGGGAAAATATTTTTTTAACCAATACTCGCTCTTGTGCAGCACGCATTCAGAACACGTTATAAACGTATTCTTTCCACTCCCAAAGGGATACAGATCTTTTCTCTATTAAAATCTGATTTACAACACAGGAATCATATAATGCTTTATCTGATTTGACTCACCTGGCTGCTTGCTGATAACAGCTTCCATGCCTAATAAATAAATAAAGAAAAATCCAATAATGCCAGAATTACCCAGTATTGTTCATTAGGTTGTTGGCAGTGCTTTCAGGGAAGGTGAATAAGAACAAAGGTAGAAATCAGCTGTACTTTTCCTCATAGAAGAGGTTGGGGAGTAGTGGTAGACTAAGAATTTCCATTTCTAGGACATTACTGTAGAAAATATTCTTGCCAGCTGAGTTACTCCTCATCCCTATGGCCTTTGATACGCTGTACCTGTACTGAAAATATCAGCATATATATGAATGTGTGTGTGTGTGTATGTGTTTGTGCCTTCCCGATAATTTTCACGCAAATTAGCTTCTTTAGGCTGGAAGTTAAATTGCTGTAAAATGCCACCATTCAGAGGAGTGCCACTGTCAGTTCGCTTCAAAAGGAAGGCAATGGCAATAACAACAGGAGCAAGACCTTCCTCCTCTATCTCTAGCAGCAGAACATCCTCTGACTACTAACTTCACAGGTAGAAAACCAGGATCCAAAATCTTTTTGAAATTGTTTTTGTTGTTACTAGAATTGAAACGTTTGCCCTGATGCTTTCACGTCATTGAGGTTTTTTTGGCTTTGGATTGCAAATGGCACAAAAAGATTACAAAAGCAATGAGTCTGAGTGTTTTAGGAGAAATGCAAGGACTAGATCACAAAAGGGGAGTAATTCTCCCTTAGAAAAATTGTCAGAAGGTGAGGGGCTGTTTGGAAAAGGCCATACATTAAGGAAAATGGACAGATACCTATCTGCCAGCAAAGTTGTTTGTATAAGCACTCTCTAACCTTTTTCAGCATGGCTGTGCCTGCCTGACTGCCACAGTTTATATAGCACGCTTTGCTGCGCCACCTTGTTCTGACTGAGGCAAACTAAGTGGCACTCGTAGGGGTAGCTCTGTTTTCAGTGGTAGAGGGAAAGCTTCATAGCTGAACTCTTGTCCTCGTCTCTCTTCCCCTCTCCTCTGCTTTCTTCTCCTTCCCTTTCTCCTTCTCCTCAGTGTTGTTCACTGAGAGAAGACTTTGCAGTCCATCAACTGGGATCCGTCTTTAGAGCTTCAGTGATGTGTTCTTTTCTCCTCCTCTTTACAGTCTAAGACTTTGGGAAGTGCGTGGTGACAGCAGTGTTGCTGCTGTTCCCAAAGCTTTAGGTGTTCTGGGTCTTTCTTTTGCCTGCAGGACCTCTGCTGTCTGCTTTTAAGGGTCGCATCATTTACTACAAGGCAAGGCCTGCTGAAATGCTTCTCCAACAACACAGATGTTCTGATGGTGGCAGCCTGATGTCCCACTGACTTACTGCAGGTCACCAAAAGCAACAGTGAGGGCATTGCTTAACACTGTTTAAAATTATTTCAAACCAAAAAGACCATTCGGTACACATTAAAGAAGTGAACACAGAGCTCAGTTGTCCCAAGCCCTAAAGCTGTATCTGCACTTTATCCTGAACAGCAGTTAGAAAACCTCATCAAACTTTGTGAAGGGGCCTGAGATGAGGATTTGAGGATCCCCCTGTTGCAAATTGAATCCATTTTGATAGACTTCAGTTGAATGTTTGGATTTAGTAGGAGGGAAATTTAGTTCCAGCTCTTCTGTAGCAGGGTCCTGGCTTTCAGTTTGGAAAGGCCACTGTAAAGTGGTAAACAGATGTGCTCTTCCAGATCTAATCATGCTGTTTGGAGACATTACTGCTGTAGAGCTCCACTAGTGGAAAGATTCATATGAGTACTTCAATCCTGAAGTAGCTCAAATCACTTTCAGTGGTAAAAAAAAACAGCAGGAAGTAGCCTAGCTTTGGTGTAGACAACTCCTCATCCCAACAGTTGCAGTGAAAATCAAAACAACTTGCTGTTACTAAAGGATATGAATTGTAAGCACTGAGCACCTTTCTGGGGAAGAGAGAGATATGAAGGGAGCCAGAGAACTATCACATAGATTAGTGCGACTCCAAAGTAGTTCTACAGATTTCAGCAGCAACTCTGAATTTTCACCAGTGGATGTGGGAGCAGAACTTGTCCAAGAAGGAAACCTTTGAGTTTATATTACAGGCATTTAACCCTAAAGGCGTTCTCATCAGTCAATCTGCCTGCATGGATTTGGGGAAATCAACTCACTTGGACAATTGCGGAGGCAAAACTGAAACATAATGGTGTACTTGAATGAAAGTCAGTGAAAAATTGGCCAGAGTACAAGCGATCGTTTGTCATTTCCCTTGCAAATATACTTTAATTGTTTTCATATTTAAGTGCCCAGAATCAGCTATAACAAATGTAAATGTCACATTGCTGAGAGATTTCCAAAAACAAGAAAGCTCTCTGAGGCGTGTGGTGAGTTATTGCCAGTTCCTAATGTTCTCTGCAGAACCACAAAAGGGCAAGGACCACTAGG